CACAACAAATATTCTACAAGTATATTCACTATAGAACCATCTCAAATTTCAAATTATAATACAAACACTATAACACATATTTTGCTTTAAAACAGACATATGTTCCCTAGTTCAAATAATAAATCTTTAAACAATTCTCATATTAATTATCACAATTTTCATTTCTGCATGTACCAAAATTAGTATCTCTTTGAAAAGGTCAATATACTTTTCTTTAAATATATATATATATATATATACACACACACACATATAACAAGGGCGGATTCAAGAATTGTTAATGAAGTGGGCTAATACTAGTAATTTCTTTTTTTGGACTGAGCTAAAATTGCCTATACAAAAAAGAGGGGTGGGCTACATCCGCTAATATATATATGACAAGTTTACAATTTTATAAATGCTTAGCGCGCACAATCAATGTGGAAAAAATTAAATATTAGAGGAAACTAACGGGTGGGTGCTTCGCGATCCAACTCAAAAGCCTAAATTATTAGGTGAGACTAACACTTGGTCCATATATACCCAATCAATCTTCTATCTGGATCCGGTATGGGACAAGCGCTCTCCCTTGTTACATTCTCCCCTACTCGAACTTGCAACGTCTTTGTTGCGCTTTGGGCCACTCTGTCTCCCTGAGGCCTAGACTCGGATGCCCTCCGGGCCGTGCACTTGGGTCCAGATCAATGATTGAGTCTGACTTTGATACTAATTGTAACGGGTAGGTGCTTCGCGATCTGATTCAAAATCCTAAGTTATTAGTTAGGGTTAACACCAGGCTCATATATACTCAATCGCTCTCCCATTCGGATCTAATGTGAGATAAGCTTCTCTTTGTTACCGTATTCCACTTGTTTTTATTTTCTAAGAAAATGACATAATCTTCAAAAAGCACTCCCACTCTTTGCAATTATCCTTAAATAAATGCTCTATCACTCCACATTTGAGTGACAATTGTATGATTTCCTTATTTAAAAGAATAAAGATAAAGGAAACTTTTTAAATACATAAATTGAGTGGGAATATGATATTCCATTTTAAAGTTCAATACAATGTGAGTGCATTAATTGTAATAGGCATTAAATAAAACTTAAGTTATAATCTCTAATGGGTGTTTGAGGATAGACTAATGAAGATTTACGCTATACTAATCCGTAATATGGATCAATAATAATCACTTCTCTGATTTGGTAAGTAGGTATCTATTCACTATATTTAATTCAGTAATTAAAGATGACATGTTCATTTATTATTGGTCCTTCACTAGTGAGAACCTAAGTATTGTTCTTATATTTTTATTGTCACATTTATTTTTATTGAGACAAGATTTGTCTACTCACCTATGAGTATTTCAGATAAATAAAGAAATCAAAGAGGGTGATTGGATTTATTTCAAATTTTTTTTTATCCTTATTTATCATTTTCTAATTTTCTAATTATGAATTATATATACATTTCTAATTAGATCACATCAGCAATTAGTAAGGGAGTTAGTAAGAAATACCACTTACTGCCTCAGTGATGAGTAGACAAATCTTGTCATTGTTATTATCAATATAAACTATTTTTCATTTCCTTTTAAATAATACGAGATAATAGTTAATTTGATTCAGTCATATGCCTGGTCCACACATGACAACTGTAACCATAAAATTGTCATAATTAGTATTTAATTGGCTTTTTGAATATCTCAATTGACTTTTACTGTTATAAGTTGAATTATGAATTTCACCAATAAAAAGGTTTATTATTACACTCTGACTATTTCAATTTTTTGTTTTAGAAAATTAGACCATCTCCAATACTAAAAGTTATTTTTACATGCCAAATTTATATTTTGACAGGTGTTACAGTGTCAAAATGCTACAATTTAGCAATTCTGTTCCAATGTTGCATTTTATACAAAATGTTATTTTTTGACACAACCACCATTCTTTTTCAACTATCATTCTCACCATTCATATTTGCATCAGTAATATTAATATTAGGCACATTCCAAGTCAAATTGTAGATATTAGAAAGAAACTAAAATTAAACCTAATTAAAAAAAAAAAACAAAAATCTAAAATATCTGGTTAAAAAAGGACCAATATATATATATATAAATTTATATATTTGATTATATTATTATAATTTTTTTTTTCTTTTTCGAAAATTTATATATATTATATATATATGCATATGATATATATTTGATTATATTATTATTAAAAATATATATATTTTTTAGGGCAAATCATTTTAGCCTCCTCAATCGCCTCCATCTCTATTCTCGTTCTCAACTTTGAAATTGCCCCCTCCTCTCTCTCTGTTCAACTGCAAACTACAAAATCAACAAGAATCAGAAGTTCAAAACCCATATCTTTCAGTTTCCATCGCCCGCTGTTCTAGTTCGGGTTCGCTGTTCGCAAGCCTCAGCCGCTGTCTCTCAACTCTCAAGTTTGCCCCCCTTACTCTCTGCAACTGCTAACTTGTACGTATGGGTTTTGTTTTAATTTTTTCTTCTTTTCTAAATCAACTAATCAAGGTCTGTAATTCTTGTTTTGCAAACTAAATCCTATTTGGTGAAATTTTTTATGATCCTTTTAATATATATATATATATATCTGAACCCATATCGGCATATCATTTCAGATTGTTCAAAAAATCAAAACCCATATCTTTCGGTTTCCATCGCCCCCCTCCCCCCCTCGCTCGCTCTCTCTCTCTCTCTCTCTCTCTCTCTCTGCCGTTCACTTTTTTTGAAATAGCAGTAGCTATTTCTTGTGCTACAATTAACATCGATTTTGGCAAAGTTAAAAATTAGCGGCCTATATAACATTGCATTGGAGAGCCCATTTTTAAACTCACTTGTTATATTTTAGAAATGGCATGTAATATAACATCGCATTGGAGATACTTTTAGATGCTGCTGCTTCTTCTTCTTATTTTTTTTGGTAAATTACCATTTTCTACAATAGTTAAGGATTTGGTTACATTAATTTTAAAATATGGAGGGTGTAATTTGTTATATTTAAAAAATAGATAGACGATTTGGAATAAGTTATTAGGTGATGTCGACAGATCTTTCGACTAGCTTAAGCTAAGCTATTAACGGATACTAACACTCTATTCATACATACTATTGACCCACTAACCGCTCAACTTGTCGGTATGCACCCTCTTGTACAAAAAAAAAATGTCTAATACTCTTCAAGTTTTAGCAAGATGTTGTTTTGATGCACACTCGACACCTTTTTTAATTTTTATTTGATAAGGTAAATAAACACAATACCTCAATTGAAGCTCAACACGCACAAGGCATCAAGGATGTGTGACTCTCAATCCTCTCCGGTGCATGTTTGTGTGTCGTATTTGCTGTACAATTAAATCGATGTGTCGTATTTGCTGTACAATTAAATCGATTATATAATACTGTTAAATTATACATTCAATAATGTCAAAAAAATGTTACATTTTCAAATTAAAGGTACTGGAGTGTTGCAACTTGACCTAATATGTTATATATTAGTACGGTCTTTATGAAATTAATGCTTTTAGTAATAAGACTGTCATAAAATTGTTGTTTATGCGTTTGGAGACACATTATATAAATTGCTTTTTATATTTGAAATATGGTAATCATGTTGCATAAAATACTTTTATTACTAATTTTACTATATTACTCTTATACTAATAAATATGTGTTAATTTTCTAATATTAAATATTATAAAGTTTCACTCAGTTTAATAATTTATGAAGATAAACTTGGTTTTTTTTTTTTTTTTGAATATCACATATTTTGTTCATGATATAATATTTTTATTTGGTATTAAAATATAAATAAGTTAAACATAATGAAATTTAATAATATAATGTTGTAGAGTCCCAGAAAAATCAGATATTCGTTTGATATTTGTTTGTAACGGAACAAAATTATATGAGTAGTGATACTTACACCGAATACTTGTATTGAATTGTCTAACCGAATAATTTTTAATTGGCGGGTTCTACTTCCTCATGTATTGCATAATTGACCAATTAAAAGAGTAGGTCTAACAAAAAAAATTAGGTACGCAATTTTAAAAGATAAAATTCATAACTTTATTTAATCGCGTTTTTTTCGATGTAACCTCTACCGCTTATGAGCCCTTTATTTTTTTTACCAAACATATTCAACAGTAATTTTTTAAAATAAAAGTATTTTTAGGTGGGTAGAGAAACAACCCCAAACACCCATTTAATGGACAAGGAAACATCATTTTGAGGTAAAGTTACCATTTTTGATTCCTCTTCAATTATCTGAATTTCTTCCTCTTCAATTATTTGAATTTCTGCCAGGAGATTTAGCGAAGCGAAAAAACAGATAAATTTGCCAATTAATTTTTGTTACGGACTAATAGATCACTAAGATCAGTCAATGGATCATTGTTTGTAATATTACTTTTAATGAATTTTGTGTCATTAATTTAAATTGAATAGAGGATTTGACTAAGAATAAAATTAAGAAATAAAAACTAAACACACCACACATAAAATATAAAAATTTATATAATTCCGTGTTAAGCTTAAGTCTTACATGAAGATCTATGTTAGGAAATCTCATCAGATTTTATGTGGAATAAGACTTCACTTATAACAATTTTTTTTTTATCCGAATTCGCCCTCGTACAATCGGCCTACCAGTACTTTGTAATCCGGCAAAAAAATTTTAAAACCTTAGACGAGACAAATATCAAACTTACATATACTCATTTTAAATTCGATTCGAATCTGATGCATTACTAGTAGACTCCTCTTCTAACGCACGGCTTTCAGTGTTTGGTGGACAAAAAGAATTGTAGAATCGGTTCCTTGACCCACGAGATAAAATGGGTCAAATTTTGTTTGGGTGGGAACCGGGTCATACAAGAGAGGATCGGACTCCAACGGATGCAGAGTGGCAGACTGCGGACACGTTTGCGGGCCATGCGGCTTGAAACGTATGAACTGGCTTCTCAGCAATCGCTGTCTATATATTTAGGACTTCTCTCTCTAAGATTGTCTATCCTCATTACTTTCCTCTATAAATTGCATTCACTTTAGCGTATGTATAATTATGTAAATGTATATGTATATATGTGTATGTATGTAAGAAGAACACTACTTTGGAGTAATCGGAGACACCTTCATGGTTGATCCAATGGAGGGAAATGGGAAACCGATCACTCCTGTCGCAGACGTTGAAGAAATGTAAGTTTTTGTTTTTCCAGTTGATTCTATCTATAGTCACTTTTCCCTCATACATCTCATTCAAGTAACTTCGAAACCATCTGTACTTCGAGTATATATACTTATACATCTCTGTATGCATGTGTAAACATGTAGAATTTGGAATTGTTTCTTTCTTTTTTTTATCACAATTTTGGAATTCTTTCTTGATCTCTGTTTCTGGGAAGTATGACGGGTAATTATTAGCAAAATGCCTATTTAGGGATGAAATTGGATCTCTCTCTCTTTTTATTTTTTCTTTATTTTTAATCTTAAATTTTGTGTTTGGAATGATTGTATGAACAGTATAAATTATGCAAAATTAGGCTTACTGAATTGTGAACGGTGGAAAGGCCATGCTTGGTTATGGATTGAAACCAATGTACCCATGGTTATCGTTAGCATGGTGGCTTTTGCTCAATATTTGTACACTGGGAGAAAATTTTCTGGCCTTTGCTCAATATTTGGTACCTGCACTCCCCACTCCCCCACCAAAATATATATATATATATATATTGAAAAACTCTAGCGGGGCTTTTTTAACTAGCTATTTTGTTTCTCAATCTTGCAACACTTTTTTACCAAACATGTTTTCATGTTTTTGCTTCCAAAAATCTTGCAACAAATTTTAATGCTTCCCATCACCATTGAACACACTACACAACAAAAACATTGATTTTGTTTCGGATGAAAACATATATGCAAGGTTCCCAAACAGGACCCAAGAGAGGTAGTAACGTCGGTTAATGATTTTGGCTATAATCAAACCCAATGAACTCCACCTTCATATCAAAATGACTTTACCTGCCATATTACCAGACTACCTTGTCTCGGATCATAAAGAAGTTAGAATGTCCTCCAATATCTTATTTGAAACATCACATCCCTTCTTTTCGTAGTTTAGAACTTCCGAGCACTTTCTCTTAACCCTGCTTATATTTACATGAAGTAGCCTCTTCCTCTACTACTGTGCTATTGGCAGCAGTTTTCAACTCGAAGTCCTTTAAAATCTCCAATTGGCTCAGTTCACTTGTATAGTTGTAAACACCTAAATTAAATTCGGAGAATGGGAACAATTTTTTTCTTAAATCCGGTACATGCTCCATGTTCTCAAAAGTTCTTGATGATCCCACACCGACACCAATCACCTTACAGGTTTAGTCATTCTCCATCAACATGAAACTACCCTCACATTCTTTATGGGAAGTAAACCACAACGTATTACAATTCATGTGATGGATCATGCCACTATCAAGAGTTTAACTTTTGTGAGGATTAAGACTTTCACATTCCATACATACTTCGTCATTAGTGATGCCTAAAGTTGATCTTCAACTTCATTTACATGATTTCTTGAATATGATATTCTCTCTTTTCATTCGTGGAACCGACACTTTCCTTTATCTAACCTTGCTTTTTGAACTGAACTATTCACTTTCTTCTTTCCAAAACTTTTTATTGGATTGACCATTGACCAGTGATGCCACATAACCATCAAGCAAGGTTGTTGCTGGCCATTATGGTATTTTCTTGGATTTTTTTTTTTTTTTTTTTTTTTTTTTTTTTTTTTTTTTCTCTCTCTCTCTCTCTCTCTCTCTCTCTCTCTCGTTCTTGGCCATAAATAAATCATTGCTATCATCCAAACTAGTAATCCTTTGTAGTTCACATCCAAGTAATGTACTGCTCATCATTTCTTATTTAGGTGTGCCTGGTTAATTCAAACGTGTAGCCAAGTTCTCTTGACAAATAAACTACAGAACAATGTGACCACCTTTTGTTCTTCATCCATCTTCATACTTTTCTCTCCACTTGGTCAATAGTGTTGTAAAAATTGGTCTATCGAAACTCGAAACCTTTCAGTCATTTTTAAAAACTAAAATTACTCTTGAAGTAGTTCCGCTTTGTTAAAGATTTGTGCAAGTGAAAACTCTTCAACCTTGACAATACTCCACCACTTGGGTAGACCTTAGGCGGGCACCCCTCCCGAGTGCAATGGAGGTAACCTACCTAGACCATGGGCTCTTTGATCAACCATTGATCCCGTCTAAAACAAAACCTTGACAATACTCTTGCAGACCTTTCCTTCACCAGTTATCTTGGCCAAATCTTTGCTAGGTGATAGCAAATTATAAGTTCAGCTCTTCAATGAATCTTCTATTAGAGCTATCACCTTACCTTTAGATGCCTTATGTAAACCTTGTTGAACCAGCAAGTCCTAAGCTTTCATTTTCCAAAATTCAAAATCATTAAGCATGCCGAATTTCACCTCTTCAAATTAAATGCCAACAATTTCTCTCTCTAAATCTATCTAAAGCAATTACCTTGGACACCACTCAGTAACAAAAATGCTCAAATCATTATATCAACAAATAGCTTGCATACAATTCTCAGATGCTCCAACATCCTGCATGCCAACCTTGAAGCTGTAATACCAAGTTGTAAACTGGTTACTAAACTAAAATTCATTTCTTAATTTTGGTAAGCTACAAAAAAAACGAGGATCTTGTGCAACATTAACAAAAGAAATTAGCAAAAAGTAATTAACCAACCACAAGTAATGCACGAGAAGATCAAATCACAACATTAAACACAAGTAGATTTCTGGTTCCGCACTAAGGTCTACATCCATGGGCAATCGAAAAGAGAATTTTCCCCATGTAGTAAACTATTAGGACTTTGTGTCATTATTTTATCAAATTTTCTGTCAAAGTAAGTAGCAATTGATTGATGCCTTTTTTTTTTTGAAAGTTATTCCGAGTCAATGTTTAACTTACATCCTAAAATGATTGAGAAAGTGTTGCCTGAACATTGGCTATGTAGATGAAGATTCGATGGTGATTGTAATACTTTTATAGTCAATGTCCTAAAAGGTTTGGAATAGTCTCAATTATTCCTCTCCCACATGTAGCCAGGGTGAAGATTGGGTAATTGCCTTTTAAAGATCTGATTAGAACATTTTGGTTAGTTATTGTAGTTTGCTTTGATTTAATGATGAGAATAATTGAAAAAAGAGTTGAGGTTGTGGTTCAACATAGAGTCATCTTAAAAGGTTATTTGCAAACCAAAGCGGCGAACCACTTGATAAGCCCATATGCACTTAATGCCTACGAGCAGAAGGCAGAAACTTCATTCGATAAGCCCATATGCACTTAATGGGGCATTGTTCCACCAAAACATGTCCTCAGGAAAACTTGCGCATATTCCGACCTGTTGTGTTTTATATGAATGTGAATTTTATTTATTTATTTACTGATGGGTAAAATTCAATATAAATTTCACTATTGATGTTTGATTATATGATCATAATGGGTGAAGGTTCTATTCTTTTCTTGCTTGTCCTCCCTTCAGATTCTTATATCTGTTATGGTATTTTAGAGTAATTGAAGACGGTGTTTCTTTCTTGACTCACTGATTCAATTGGCCTCTTAGGAACTTGGCACATCTTGGGGTGATATTTTACCTTGATGTGTTAGAATTTGAAAATTATTTCTTTTGGGATTAGAAGGATACTTGACCTGACATTAACACTTCATATAGATGTGCTTATGAGTGTGGATAATGCATTTATGTTTATTTTTGTACAACTTAGTGTAATCTACCCCACTATTCTTACTAAATAAATATTTTCAGACTTTATGTGCATCAGCTTATACATGTGCACATATAAGCATAAGCTCTTGCACATATAAAATGCTTTGGAGGCTTTCTGGACTTTCTGATATAGTTCTGACTCCACCGTTCATGCTTTTGTTCCTATTTTTGTGCTACTGTGCGTCACCTTTTGGGCTTGATTTATATGTGTCACAACACCTGATATGTGGTTATGTCCTCTGGAAATTAGAGAATCCATTACCCATTAATATGGTCTTAATGTGGTTCTGATGTTAATAGGAAAGATAGAGTAAAATAGTGAAATGTTCTAGTCATTTTATTATATTTCCTAATAAATGCTCTTAGGTAATATGTAGTTATGGAATTCACAGAAGTGTTGAAAATACCCTTTTCACTGTGATTGCCCTTTGAATGGCTCTGCCTACAAACCCCCACGAGGACTACCCCTTGGCCCTTGTAACTCCCTTTATAGATTTTCTGACTTGGGGTCTATGGGATATCTCATGTAATTGTTAACCAAATTGAATATGACATCTATTGCTGAATTTTCTGTTTTTTCACCTTACCTTAAGGTAATAAAGTGGAGTGAAAAGTGGATAAGTGGATCTATGTTTTGAACCTCAGTCTTTAGCACTACAACACAGACATGAACGCTATTTAGGAAGCTCTTTTCTATATGGATTCTGGAATGTTGTGAACTTGTGAGTTATAATCTTGTTCAAGAGTATTACAGCCTTGAGGTCTTAAATTCAAATTTTACATGCATCACTACATCAATGACGCCTATAATTTAAAATTGATGGGTTGGTAAGCATATCCCTTCAATTAAAAGAAGGAAAGAGAAGAAAAATTAAAAATGTTATATTAAAATTCCAAGTAGCTGAGAAAATCAATTCATTTACATTAACAGTCTGATGACTTTTTGACTTGTTAGTTATGCACTGGTTACAGATTTTTCCATTTGAACCTCAATGATTTCTTAAATACTCTAATGACCCTCATTTTGATCTTGATTGTAGGTACATGGATTATTACAGAAGGAAAGAGGGGCCAGAGCTACCTAATAATGCAGTTTTATCAGCTTTCTTTAAGGTTTGTAATGGTTATAGTTTTCCCTATTAACATTTAAATTCATTTTTAGTAAATTTTTCCTGAACATAAATGCTTCACAATATGCGAATGCTAAGATGGACAGTAGGAGTAACTAGAAAAGATAAGGTTAATAATCAAAGTATGAGATAGATATTATGAGTGGCGCCAATTAATGAAAAAATAAGAGAAAGTTGACTTAGATGGTATGGACACATCGAAGTAGAACTCTAGATGCACCAGGGAGAAAAGGAAGATTTGTTTTTATGGAAGGCAAGAAACAAAGAGGTTGACCAAAACTAACGTGAAATGAAATAATAAGAAGTGTTTTTAAAAAATTAAATCTAATAGGAGAAATGACTTATGATGGAAGAGAATGGAAAAAGAGAATCCACGTGGCCGACCACGTCCATACGGTGTAAAGACAATGATGATGATGATGAAATGCTTCACAATGCTAAGTTCTTTGCTTTGATTATTAGAGCCGAAGTCATAATTTCTACAACTATGAGAAGAGATGAGTCCTAAAATAGGAGTTATTGTACTATAAAAGAAATTTGGCATGTGTAGCAGTTATGCAGTTTGACTTCCATTGTCCTATCTGTTTACCACATGGGTTTGGCAATATAAATTCCACAAGGCACTTTGGATTTTTCATCCTCCGACAAGTGACAGATTGGAATCCTGAAATGAGGTGGATGCATGTTAAAATAAGAAATAAACAGCATAGAAAGGACATATACTGGGTGGTGGCCTGGTGGGTAGGATCCTAGTGTATTAGAAAGTATGGTCCTCAAAAGGGTTTTTTAATTGGTTAGAAATTTGGAGCACGATCCTTGTTGCGAAACTAATTGGTTAATTTAAACCATCATGGATCAGTTTTGTTGCATGTTTTTTATGTTAATAATTTAATCGTAACAATGATAACTGACCATTAGTTTATTTTACTCATTTTATTTGGTACTCATACATCCACTATTGCCTGAATGAGGACTTGAATTGTCAAGCTCCCATGTGTGAGGAGGAGATACCTCTTGAGCTAAGGCTAGGTGGTAGTTTATTTTATTCAGTAAGTGAGAGAGAAGATACTAATAGGGAAAGTTGATTGCTAAAACAACCAAGTCAGAAACTAATAAAAAGAAATATAAAATATTCTGACTGAAAATATGAATTTATGAAGTTTGAAGAACAGTTCAGGGAGTTGCGAATGGATCCATCTTTTGTAAAACATATCTGAAGATATGCACTAGCATGACGAGGTCCTACAAGGAAGTGGTGGTCGAGTGAAGTTTTTGGCCCAAAGGAGGAAGGTCTATAATAGGTTGGTCATCGGGGTCTAAAAGAGAGGTAGTATGCTAATGGGCTGGCAAACTATAATCTGGGACCTGGAAGTCTCAAATGGGCAAGGGAGATATGTCGACTGAGAAGGGCAAGTGGCATAATGGGACTGAGGTGGGCATGGGGGACAAATCAAGTTCAAGACCAAGAGCTTGCGTTAAATTTGGGCTGAGAAAGTTAGCAGTCCAGAACTTGGGGAGGATCTACAGCTAAGTCAAGTGGAATAGGGTGGGCCATTGCAAAGTCAGGCAAGACTACCCTAGCTTGACAGGTATGATTTTACATAATCCTGGCTCAAATAATCACACACCTGATACAAATAAATAGTATCTTGAAGAAGTGGAATAGTCATTCTTGTTTTTGGGTACTAAATAGGAATTAAGTTTTGGAATTACTGATTCTTCACTTAGGAATACTTTTTTGGGATTCTAAAGTATGTCTAGGGAAGATTAGAGGTCATTATTGGCTGTATTATAAAAGGACAATCCCTTTTTTCTGCTGCAACAAGGCTCTATCAATATAATTTTGAGATATCATCAAGGACACCACCTTTTTTTCTTCAGGCTTTTCCTGGATTTCTCTTTTTAGGCTTTAATTATGATTGGAGTAATTCTATTCTAACTTAATACTATTAGGCCTAGTTTGGTACGAAGGAATGAAATGAGGTGGAAATGAAACAAAGAATGGAATGAGAATGGAACAAACATTCCCATTCTCCTGTTTGCTTGTAGACATCAAATGATGCAGGAATGAAAATAAGAGCCCACGACATCTTCTTTTCCAACCACACTACCATAGTCGCATCATGCTTCAGTTCGGGACTCGTTGGATTGTGGTGGTTTCATCACCGTCTGCTGTGGAGGAATCAAGAACGACACCATCTTTGCCAACCACACTTGCATCGTCGTATCACCCTTCAGTTCGGAACTCGCCTGGTTTTGGTGGTTTCATCACCGTCCGCCGTGGAGGAATCAAGAACAACATCATCTTTGCCAACCACACCACCATCGTCGTATCACCCTTCAGTTTGGGACTCGCTGGATTGTGGTGGTTTCATCACCGTCCGCCGTGGAGGAATCAAGAACGAGATCGTCTTGCCAACCACACCACCATTGTTATTTAGGACTCACTGGATTGTCGTGGTTTCATCACAGTCCACTGTGGAGGAATCTAGAGATACATCGTTTTTTCTAACTACACCACCATTGTCGCATCCCCCTGCAGCGACTACAGCGGGTTGGAGGTGCGAGAGAGATAAACATCTGGACCATAACGTTGAAGAAAAGCCTTTTTTTAGTGACAAATAATTTTTTTTATACCCCATACGTTTTAAGTTGGAATGGAATGACCATTCCTTTTGTTGGGAAGTATAATGATTTTGTAGAAATGACCATTCTCTGGGAATGGTCAGGAATGGTCATCCCAACTTTAAAATTACTTACCAAGTAAAAGAATGGAAATAAAAGCAATCCATTCTATTTCATTTCATTCCATTCTCACGTACCAAATTATGCCCAAAAGGATTTTTGTTTTGTCTCTCTTTGCTGCAACACCCCATAATTAAGCTCAGGAGTTGACTAGTAAGCTTGTCTGAGTTAAGTCAAGCACTGTTGCAGGGGGAGGGGGTGGGGGTGGTTAAAGAGCACTAGCAAGCAAGACATGCAATCTCCTTCAAGGCCGTCAGCTCAGGTGGAAGGGGGGATCAAGCTGTTTAGGAAGATGACAGCTATCTCACGAGTTTCTGAAAGTAGGTGATATGCAAATTAAAATGGGAGGGGAGTTGGCATCTTGATGGAGTGGAGTATTGGTGTGGGTGAAGCTTGGGAGGGGGTTAAATTGGATCTCCTAAAGTTGTTCATAAATCACCAGCGATCATTCTTCCTTTCAGCTACACCATTTTGTTGTGATGTAGCGGCAATAGACAATTCTTGCTTCATTCCTAATTCGTTACAATATTTAATGCATTCTCCGTAGAATTCTCTGCCTCTTATCACTTCTTATTTTATAAATTTTATATTCTTTTTCATTTTGAATCCTTTAACAAATTATTTTGAATTTATGATAAGTGTCTATTTTTCTCTTAAGAAGGTTACCCATGTGTACCTAGAAAATTCATCTACCGCAACCAAAATGTCTTTACCTTTTATGCTCTCAGTTTGTATCAACCCATAATATCCATATGTACAAGTTCAAGTGGTTTAGACGTATTTATTATTTGGATTTTTTTTTTTGTGTGACTTTTAGATGTGTACTTTTTGACACAGCCGACATATTCCAACTTATGGTTTGCTAAATTTAGGCAGTTCTCTAACTATACCATTTTCAAAAAATTTGACCAAGTCTTCTATGTCTTAGCATTATGGTATTGGTTTGAGCACTATTAGATTAATGTAGGTTATAGCTATATGACATAAGAGTTATCTAATGACCTTTTTCCTTTTAGAGTACTATTCCATTCTTTATCTATTACTACACATTTATCTTGTGTGAAGTAAACTTCTTGTCGGTTATCACATGGTTGACTAATACTAATTACACTGGCTTTTAGCCCCATTTACACAACAAATGTCTTTTAAATCTATAATTCCGAGAATTGTTACTGTTTCATATCCTACTATGTCTGCAAATTTACCGTCTCCAAATCTAAACATACCACCATCACAATTTGTCAAAGTTGAGAAAAAGGATTAATTTTCGGTCATATGCCCAGAACGCCCACTGTCGAAATACCGGTATTTAGTATCTTTAGCTTTTAGTGCCGTGTGTATTACTAAGCATTCAATTTCTTATTTTCTCATCCAAATTTATTTTTTAGAAGTGACTTATTTTTGTCTTATCTTTGGACTCTTCGTTGGGGAAGGAATAATAATATTTGAAGTTCCTAGAGTCGTTTCTTGATATAGAGAGTTTTATGCCTTTCTTCTTCTTATTAAGGTCATTTATACGTTTGGTGCATTTAAATTTTATATGATCTTTCTCTAAACAATAATGACATATTGGACCTTGTTTAGGGGGGATAAATCTTTTTAGTCTCACTAGATTTCCCATGGCTATGTTTATGACATGTAGAATTATCAATTTTAGCTGTCGAATCTAGTTTTCAATTACATTCTGTTTAGTTTTCAGTAGCAGTTCTAGTTTTTGAAATCCAGCTCTAAGTTCTTTTCTCATCTTCTTAGATTGAGTAGCTTCATGTTCAAGTACTTTTACTTTACTGTGAAGTGTGTGTATATATATATATATTTTCTGGTTTAGTTAAAAAAATTGTTGAACTAGCAATTTCAAGTTTTTGTTTTGCAGTTATGCATTCCATGGTTTTACCTTATTTAACAATCAGAATTTTCTGATTGTAAACTCGTACTCATGTAATTCAGCAAAATCTACTCTAAATATATCATCTTCATCATATTCTAAGTTTCATGCATTACATAGATGACATATCATGCAAGTCACCATGAGATGCATAGCAGATAGCATTAGCATACTTAATGGAGTTAAGTTCCCTATCAAATCACTAAAAGAAGATATCTCAGATAAACTAGAATGATTGTCATGCATTAGATTATCAAAGGAGGCATAGTCATCTGAATAAACAAAATCAATCGACTCACTTTTTCAAAATCCATAATATTCCTATAAATCACTCTATATGTCTAGTAACCAACCCTCTCTGATACCAATTGAAAGTGCGTATGCGTTACCTGAGGCTTTGTTAGAATATGAGCAGTGAATTATACCTAGAGAGGGGTGATAGGTCTTATGAATATGTGTGTGTGTGTGTATATATATATATAAATTTTGACTAACTTTACAAAATTTTGTTAAACCTTTCAAATTCCGGTCAGTTATTTGAAGAGTTTTTGGATTTGTTTAGGGTTTTAAAGGCCCTATTTGGCCCTGTGCTGTCTTTGAGGGATGCATTCCCCTTTTGATTGCTTTTAAGGAATTCTTACTTATAAAAAATAAGACTTATAATTAATTTTCAATTTCAATCGATCACTCGCAATCAAACAATAAACATAAAGTAAAGCAAAGTAGAGTTAGAAGATTGTTATATGAAAAATCCAAAAAAGGTAAAAAAACAAGGGACCTAGTCAAGTCAAGCACAATTCACTAACAAGAAAGGGATTACAACTAGGTTGAGAATTCGCTTACCCTCAAACCCCAAGTTACCTCCAGACACATTTGACGCCAAAATTTTCCCTCGAAAATCTCCAGGCCATCCGTCTGCTCGTCTTTAGCATTGCTCCTCATGAATCTACTTTTCTTGCCCATGTCTGCTCTGAATTGATCGGTTGAATAGGATTGAATTAATGATCTTCTCATTGATGTGCACTCAAATGACACAATATGTTAGACTGAGTAAAACAGAACATTTTCTTTCTCACAAGTGATTTATCTCTTTAGTTAATTAGAGAGCTCAACTCATGCCTAGACTAGCTATAATATCATATTTATAGCCAACATAGGAGTTCCATATTTTATAGGAAGTTAAACCTTGTAAAATTGTATTTGGAGAGGGTTTTAAAAAATTTATCTCTGACAGGTTCAATCAATCTTAACTTTACTGGAAACACATTGATCAATACATTATGGTTTTGGAAATAAATTTTCTTGAAACTTCTTGATCAATTGATCATTCGGTTGATATCTTCTGGAAGTTTCTTGATCGAAATTTGATCCGTGCACGCTGCTTTTCATTTTAAAAGGCAGTTTCAAAAAAATTGAAAAACTTAAAATTTGAATAATTATATTTCAGAAACACTTATAAAACATATATATGAGCCCAACCAAGAATAAAGTAGGTCAGACTAAGGTCTTACTAAGATCAATTTACTTGTGACCTAGATGTGTGATTGACGTGAATTTTCTGCCGTCTTCTTCGTACTTTGTGTCTGCCATATCTTCAATATAGGTCCTCAAATGACTCATGACACTTTCACACATTATAACACATGTTTTGAGTAGGAATTTGCCAACAAATGAATCATGTATCTAACAAGCACCATGTCGATTTGATACTGACAACAAGCCTTCTAAATTTACTTCATTATTCAAATCTGTTGAGTTGCTGCAAATAGAATTTACTGGGGAAATTTGCGTTAGTTGTGGCTATGGTGTTCATCAGTGAAAGATTAGTATTTCCGGTTCAATATTGGAGAAGACGAAAGAAAGGATGGAAGGCAATGCTGGGGTTTTTTGATAAATCATTGTAAATTTGCTTCAAACTCAAGGGTGAGTTTTCTTCGAGGAGGGATTGATTCAAATAATTATTGAGCTTTGGAAATTATCTTGAAGAAGCCAAATATTCTTATTTTCCATTTAGGAAAAAAGAAAAGAAAAGTGGTGAAGGTGTTATTAATGCTGTGTGGGATTTTAGAGTTTGTTTAGGCAAGATTAGAGTGAACCTTTTAGAAATTTAGGTTCCAACAGTGATTGGAGTGATCCTAGTCTATCTTACTGCTGCTAGAGGACTTTTGTTTTGTCTCTGTTTACTGCAGTAATGGTATTAGAATTGTTTGCCAACTGGATATTGACAAGGCTTACACTCATTATATATTGTATATATCATGGAGAGAAGTGGATCTAATTTTCAATCTTTGCAGAATGCTGACAGGTTTCTTTACTGGGTTGAGAGACCTCAAATAAGAAGATCAACTCTCTCCTTTCTTCTTTATTATGGTGATGGAAACATTCATCTGTATAATGTTAAGTGGATGGAGGCACGTTAACAGGATTTCTGTTTGGGCTGGTTAGGGGTACTCCTAGAGCGTTATCTTATCTTTTATTTTGTGGTTATACGATTCTGTTTTGTAGGGCTAAGAAGATCAATTGAAGCTATTGAGATCTTTCTGTCTTTGCTTTCGACAGTGTCAGTTTGAGACCACTTAAGCCAAGAGTGATCTGATTTTGGTAGGGAAGATGGAGGTGATGGACCTTTTTGTGTGCATTATGGGTTTCAGAGTGCTTTCTCTACTGCTTATTTGGGCCTCCTTTTAGTTCGTCTTTTAGGCCGTAAGCGTTCGGGATGCTCCTGAAAGTTGGTGGCGTGTTGAAAGAGGCGATACTTGTTTAGGTAACTCTTAACTAGTCCGCATACTTTTTGTCTCCCTTCCCTTCTATTGTGACTAGTCCTAATTGAGCTCTGGAAAAGCTTCAGAAGGACTTTCTGTTGGGTGGCAAAGAGAATGAATTCAAGTATCACTTGTGGGATTTGAAAGCAGTTTGTTTCCCCTCAAGGAGGAGGGTTGGGTACCGAAACGTTTGATTGTTTGATCAAGCTCTTGGATAAGTGGTTGTTGCGGTACAGGATGGAAAGAGAGAGTTTATAAAGGATAGTTGGAAACAGAACTATTGGTCCGGGGCCCTTAAGCTGGGAGCGCGAAGATTATCAGGTATGAGTGTGATACGAGGTTAGTGGTTGGTTCTTGGTAGCAGGATATAGTTTAATTCTGGTATTCTGGGTTGATCATTAGTGAGGTGAGGGACCTTTATTTTGGGCCTTGCCATGTTTTAGGACTGCATCTGATCAATAGGATATGTTTGCAGACTATCTTAGGGTCTTAGAGGACCGGTTAGGTGGGACAAATTTTTTTGTTCACCATTGCAAGATTGGGAAATGAGGAGATTAAGGCCTTCTTTAGCGTACTATATTCTCAGGTCATGGAAAGACAGAGGAGGATGCTTTGAGAGATGGGTTATCAATCGTCCAAAGAGGCGACAACTCATTGTTAATTGGTGTCGCATAACGGGACAACAAAATCATTAGCCATCTGCTGTTGCTTGGTCCAGTTGCCTAGTAAGTTGTGGGTTTTCTTATGAGCTCTTTTTGGAATTATTGATGCTCAAGCTGGCGGGAATGTTCTTGAAATTTGGTGAGGTTGTAGAGTAAGGAGAATAGCCAGTGTTATGTGGCAGGCAGCTCTCTTATGCCTTTGGTGGAGGGATAGGAGGTTTACTGAAGGGGTGGTTGAATTGTCTATACTATCTCTGAAGTTCGGTGTGTTGAGCTAGTCTTATGGAGATCTTTGTGTATGCATCACATGTCTATAGATGTATCTCTACTCTTTTGATATTCTCTAACCACGCTCCAAGGGAAAAAGAAAAAGGAATAATGGAGCAGGAGTAGAAAAGCAGACAATTGAATTTTGGTTTTCGGTAAAATTTCATGATTATTGTAGTTGTAGCTGGCCTTGTTCTCGGCTTTTCTTTCTTTCTTTCTTTGACAAGTAATCTTATGTCATCAATTACATATGTATGGTAATTATTAGTTTTGTTTTTATGGTGGCGGTTATCATTATTATTGTGGGATAAGTTTATACATGTATAAGTTGATTTATTTTACTTGTTCAAAGAGCTGCCTTATTTTCTAATAATACAAAATTTGCTTGTTTTTATAATGAGAATGCTCCTAAGAGGTCTATCTCATGAGAAGAGCCATGAGTTCTCCCTATTTAACCATTGGGTTGAAACAAGTTTTTGAGATCTGTGAAAAGTCAAATTACTCTTTTATAAATATTCCAATAGTAACATTACGAAAATGAAGTGCATGCCTCACGTGATTACTGTAGACTTCCTATATTCTTGTACTGTAATGGCATGTTTCACTACACTCTGTGGTCCTTGAGGTCCCGTGCATTAAACTATTGTTTAGTGAAAATTTTAGTGGCACAATTCTTTCCTAAATGTTTGGGCATTAGGTCTCATGTTTAGATGTTAGACTATGCTCTGCTGCTTCAATTAGTTATCGCAAGAAGAGTGAAAAAGAAGATTATCAAACTTTTCTTGATTTTATTTCGCAAATTTCTGTGCTCAGGTCTTTTCCTTACCATGGTAAGAACCAAGATTCTAGTCACACCCTTCCTTCTTTCCCGCTTACATTTGTTCTTGTTGAAGGAAATGAAAATTAATTCTGATTAGTTCTTTCTGCTCGATCTTTCAGGCTGAGCGTAAAAAATCTCGCCACAAGCAATGTAGCCTTGTGATTATCTTGGATGACTTGAAGGATACTGATTTCCATCCGCTTCTTGATGTATTTATGGAAATTGACACCTCCGAGATTGAGGCGGTTGACATAATCCAGAAATCATCATGTGTCTTTGATGGAGAACTTACTCTGTTGTTGCTGCGTGCAATCAATCAAAAGCTCCGCATTGTTGATCTCCAGGACTCGTCATTTGGGAAGGACTTCTTGCGGTATTAGTATTGCTTTTAAAATATAATTTTGTATAATATCTACTCAATTACCATTTTCTTAAGTTGAAGACTTTTTATTTCCCTCACCATGTTGACAATAACAAAAGGGCAAAGATCTGCAACATTGGCAAGTCAAGCTTTCTGGGGTTGGAAATTTGGGAAATAATAAGCAGTGGTTCATAAATTCAGATAAACTTAATATATGCAATTAACTCTTTATTTTAGTTTGTTTGTCTGCATTTAATGGCATCTTTAACTCTTAGGTGATACTGAACTACCTTAAGGCTCTTTTGATTCACAGGGTTTTAGAATTTTAACAAATTTTACTGGAGACAGTCTTATATACTATGCAGTAATTTTTTTCGTCTCTTGTATGTGTATGCATTGTGTATAATCCTTTAATCTTGGAAAAACATTTTATCTGCTTATTTGTTATATTGTTATTGTTGTTAAAATTGTTAGGATTATGCAACAAGTGTTTGCCATATGCTATGATCAAAGGTCATGTTTGGCCAATTGGGGGTTGCATGACTTGATTGATTGGATCATTACTATGATGATGAAATCACATTAAAGATTTTTGGAACTACTGGAATCAAACAAACTGAACCTTAGGTGATTGGATTGTTTTGGTTTGGTTCTATTGTTTTGTCTTTCTTACACACACACACACACTAGGAAAAGAGGCGTGTGATTTGCACGTGTTATCAAAACTTATAGTAAACTAGCAATGTATTAGAACTTGTACATATTGATTTTGTGTTAATTCTATCATTGTATCATGTTGAAATATCTTTATTATTATTATTATTATTATTATTATTTATTTATTTTTATTAGCTGTTTTAAGCCTTTTTTTAGGTGTTTTATGTAAGATCCTCGTAATCATGGGATCACATAGATAAGATCCTCATAATCATGGGATCACGTAGATTTTGGCATATTTCCTGTTTTTCTTTGATTTGGTTTCATTTCTTTGTACCATATTCTTGTATATAAATATAGTTCTTGGCTCCCGGTTTGAGTAAGCCAAAACCTCAAAACTCTTCTTTTTGGTATCAGAGCAAATCAAAAAAACCTTCACCTCCTCATCTTCCTTCCCCAACGCCGCCGCCACTTGTCTCCCTCCCTCCTCTTTCCCTCGCCTCCGGCGCACCTCCATTTCCTCCCAGCCCTTGATTCATGTTTAGGAGAATTCCCTTAGTTTTTTTATGACCTAAGGGTCCTTCTATTTTTTTTTTCCCCTTTGTGGGCTGCTGGTGTTTGTTTGGCATCATATTTAGAGGAAACGCCGATTTTTCCGGCCTTATTTTTCTCTCTCCTCCCTCTTTGACGTGTGGACCAGCCTTATTTTGGTACCATGAGTGATTCCAGTAGCCAAAATGACACTTTATCTTCGGCACAGTATACTCCGGCGCAACAGGTTACTAGTGTGCTCTTAAATGTGCACAACTTCGTATCTTGGTCCCGTTGTCTTCAACTTTATATTGGAAGGAAAGGGAAAACTGGTTGGCTTTTAGGTTTCATCTGTGGCAAGCCCTTAACAAGATGTATGCTTACTCCCGCAATGACGCTCGTATCTTTGAACCTTATTAGGAGATTGCTCATGCATCTCAGGAGACACTCAAGCTGTCAGTATTAGAGTATTTTGGGTACCTCTAGTCTAGGTGGGAAGAAGTAGCATAGTATGAATCTCTCTCTGATTTCTCTGAAGAAGCTTTAACTCTTTTGGTTAAGAGACTGGACCGCCAGCATACTTACCAGTTTTTGATGGATTTACGATCCGAGTATGATGCTCTTAGAACTTAGATCATAAACACCTCTCCTATGCCTGATTTATTGTAGACGTCAAATCTCTCAGCTAGTAGCTTTACCAGATACTTCAGTTGATCAGATGGCTCTTGCTGCTATTTTTAGACTTTCAGAGGGAAAGGTTATTTGTCAATATTGTGGAGCCACGGGTCATGTAAAGGATCGCTGCTTTAAGCTTCTTCTCGGGCTAAAGTAGAAATTTTCTCGCAATCGTCCTTCTGGCCGTGGCCGCAGTAGCTGATACAATAGGTGGGTATACTACTCCACATATTGTTATTCCTCCTGCTTCAACTCCTCCTAGACCATCTTTTCAGGATTTCAATCAGTTACAGTCCCAGATTAGTCAGCTTCAGGAGCAGTTCAGAGCTTTATCCACCAGGGCTAGCTCTTCTACTCCCACGGTTACTATAGTTACAGGTACTCCTGCTTTTCATGTTAAAGCGGGAAAACCTACTCGGGTTCTAGATTTCGGAGCCAATTATCACATGACTGGTGAGTTGTCATTATTTTCTACTCCCGTTACCCTTGTTAATTTAGTCTAGCTGATGGGTCAACCACCATTATTCGTACTAAAGGAGATGTTCATCTATCCCCTGATATTATTTTCCATCTGTTCTTTATGTTCCTAACTTTGCATTTAATCTTCTATTTGTTAGCAAACTTGCCAAATCACTAAACTGCGCAGTGATTTTCTTTTCTCATTACTGTGTTTTACAGGTTTTGTGTTTGAAGAGGATTTTTGGCAGGGGATATGAACACAATGACCTCTATTACTTTAGGGATCCTCCAGCAACACCTCCTCCACTTGCTTCTAGCCTTCAAGCCTCTCTTCTTATAGTTTCTAGGTCCAATGTTTTTTCTTTTCAGACTTTAAATTTATGGCATGCTCGACTTGGGCATGTAAACTTTTAGTATTAATGTCTGCTTTTCCCTTCATTGATAAAGGCTTGTAAGGATAATAAGTTTCAATGTGATATTTGTGAGCTTTCTAAACATATTAGAACCAGTTATATTTCCCATAAGCATCGTGCACCTAGTATGTTTGATCTCATACATTCTGATGTGTTGGGTCCTTCTCCTGTTATTGCTTTTTCGGGGCATCGTTATTATATCACATTCATTGATGATTATTCCCGCTACGCATGGGTTTATTTACTTAAAAAGAAATCTGAAGTTTTTCCCTTGTTCACTCAATTCCTCCAAATGATCAAAACTCAATATAAAACTGTTGTTAGGAACTATTAGGTCTGCCAATGGTCGTGAATATGTTTCCAATGAGTTTCGCTCTCAACTTAACCAACAGGGTATTCTTCATTAGCTTACTTATCCTATACCCTTGAACCGATTGGTGTGGCAAATCGTAAAAACCGCCAACTAGTGTCATTTGTTCGATGTCTTTTAAGTGGTATGAATGTGCCAAAGTCATATTGGTACATGGCGGTTCTTACATCTACTTTTCTCATTAATCATACCCCTAGTAGAGTATTAAATGGTAAAGCCCCCTTACAAGTGCTTCAGCCTGATATTACTCTTTTTTCCATCATGCTTCGGGTGTTTGAATGTACATGTTTTGTTTAATATCGTAGCCCTTATTGTACTAAACTTGATGACAAGGCCATTAAATGTATCTTCTTAGGATACTTTTCCATGTCAAAAGGTTACTGGTGTTATGATCCGGTACACAAACACATGTATCACTCTCTTAATGTCACCTTTAATGACCAAACCCCTTTTTATGGTTCTAACACTATCTTGCAGGAAACTTCTCCTCCTGATCAAGAGGCTTCTCCTCTTGCTCGTCCTCTTCTTATTTTTCAAGAAAGAGTCTTCTCTTGTTGTTTCCTCACCCCCTTTGCAGGTTTATTCTCACCGCCCTCGTGCTCTGCATCCACTGCCTTCATCCTCCTTAGATACAAGTTCAAGTACACCTCCTCTCTCTCCTTTACATTTATCTGACACTGTTCCTGAGTCTCGGTATCCCACTTGGGAGGGACCGCGAGCCCCTGCTCGATTTGGATTTGCTTGTAGTACTGATCATCCTATTTTGCAGTATATCTCTTATGATGGTCTTTCAGGGTCTTGTCGAGCCGTTTTAGGCAAACTTGATTCCACTTCCATTCCCAAAAATGTGTGTGAGGCTCTTCAGAATCCCAATTGGATATTTGCTATGAAGGTAGAAATGGATGCTTTGCAGCATAATGAAACATGGTAGCTTGTATCTCTCCCTTCTGGTGAAAAGATTGTAGGTTGCAAGTGGGTATTCAGTGTTAAATATCTGGTTGATGGCTCAATTGATCAGTATAAGGCCCGTTTGGTGGCCAAAGGGTTTTCTCAGATTCCTAGTAAAGACTTTAATGATACTTTCGCTCCAGTGACTAAATTGACCTCAGTTTGTTTGCTTGTCTTCCTGGCTGCCTCTCACAATTGGCCTCTTCATCAACTTGATGTGAAGAATGCTTTCCCTAACGGTGATTTTCTTGAGACTATTTACATGGATCCTCCACCCGATTTTTGGGTTGAGGGGGAGTATGCTGGAAAGGTCTGTCGATTGCGGAAGTCTTTGTATGGGTTAAAACAATCTCCTAGAGCTTGGTTTAGCCGCTTCAGTGATGTAATTCTATCCATGGAGTTTGTTAGATGCCATTCTGACCATACACGTTTTATCCACTGTTCCTCCATTGGTTAATGTATCATTCTTCTTTTCTATGTTGATGATATCATCATTATTGGCAATGACATCCCTGCGATCGCTTAAGTAAATCTTCAATTGGCTAAAGCTTTTGATGTGAAAGACCTTGAGCAGCTCATATATTTCTTGGGAATTGAGGTTGCTAGATCTAAGCAAGGTTTCTCTTTATTGCAAAAATCCTAATCTGAAGATCTTGGCTAAGTCTGGAGATCTCCTTTTTGATCCTTCGCAGTATCAATGCTTGGTAGGAAGATTGATTTATCTTACCAACACGCGTCCTGATTTGGCTTTTACGGTTAGTGTTGTGAGCCAATTTATGTATGCTTCTCATACATCTCATATGGATGCAGTGTATCATATTCTTCGATATCTTAAGTCTTGTCCTGGACTTGGATTATTCTATTCTTCTAGTAGGCAGGTTGGGCTATCATGTTTTAGTGATGCAGACTATGCTGGGTCCAAGACTGATAGACATTCAATAGCTGGCTTCTGTACTTTC